GGCCATTGAGAGTCGCAATTCGGAGGTCGTGTCGGAAATGTTTTCCATTTGACCCGCGCCCCGCGCCGTGTGTGTTTTTCTCCATCCCTTGCCCCCGTGTGCTTCACTCTCTCCCCCACCTATGCCCGTCCCGAACCCCTACTGGTATTGCTCAACTCGTCTGTGTTTCGTCGTATCTCCCCCTTCCCCCGCCCTAAACTCCGTCCTCAACCCCCGTCTGGCCCAGGTTACGGATATCGCCATTATTATCGTGGCGGCGGATGACGGTGTACGACCGCAAACCCGGGAGGCGGTAGCGCATGCGCAGGTGTGGTTTACTAGGGGAAGATGGGAGGGGGAGAGACGGGGGGGAGGGGGCGAATGGGGGAAGAGGGGAACAGCCCTTTTTGCAGACCCTAGCCAGGGAGGGTAAGGTCCTGCTGCAAGGAAAAAGACATGCCTGCGTATGCATGTATGTATGTATGTATGTATGTATGTATGTATGTATGTATGTATGTATGTATGTATGTATGTATGTATGTATGTATGTATGTATGTATGTATGTATGTATGCCAAACTGTATATGTGTGTTGGGTTAAATGTATGCGAGTGAGTGTGGTGTGTGCTTAAACATGATGACACGCGTGCACCACCACCGCGCTTTGATTTTTTTCAAAATCATACACATACACACACATACACACATTCTCAAGAATGCCCTCCTTTCCCCCCCCCGGTCCGTCCCCGCCTCCCCCTCTCTCCCCCAGGCTGCAGGGGTACCCATAGTGGTCGCCATCAACAAGGTGGATAAACCCGGAGCTGACGTGGAGCGAGTCAAGCAGGTGAGTGCTACTGCTGCTACTGCTGCTGCTACTGCTGCTGCTGCTGCTGCTACTGCTGCTGCTACTGCTGCTGCTGCTGCTACTGCTGCTGCTACTGCTGCTGCTACTGCTGCTGCTGCTGCTACTGTTGCTGCTACTGTTGCTGCTACTGCTACTGCTGCTGCTACTGCTGCTGCTACTGCTGCTGCTGCTACTGCTACTGCTACTGCTACTGCTGCTGCTACTGCTGCTGCTACTGCTGCTGCTACTGCTACTGCTACTAGCGCGTGCACTCACACGTAGGGGAGTTGGTGTGGGAGGGGAAAGAGGTGGGGGTGAAGGGGATGCATGAAAAGGGGGGTAAGTGGGTTGGTGTGCTCGACGGAGGAAGGTAGGTTTGGACTGGACCTGTACGACTGTGTGTGTTTGTGCCTGCTCTGGCTCTAATGTTTATTTTGTCTGGCTGTGTTTGTCATCTCTCCCAACCAACCGCTCTCCCAACCAACCGCTCTCCCCCAACTTTCCCACGTCGGCCGACCTTCCTTCCCCGTTGACTTTGCATGAGTTTCCCTCTCTCCACTCCCCCTCCCTCTCCCCCA